AAGCCCCCCAGGCCCCGCACCAGCAGCAGCAGCAGCAGCAGCAGCAGCAGCGGCGGCGGCGGCGGCGACGGCGACAGCAGCAGCAGCAGCAGCAGCAGCAGCGAGTTCGCGTGTCCTGCTGCGAAGCACTTCAAGGCGGTGTACATAGCGCCGCTGAAGTCCTTAGCAGCAGAAGTGACGGGGAAGCTGCGGGCAGCTCTGGGGCCCCTTGGAGTTGCTGTTGCAGAAGCTTCTGGAGATGTTTGTTTGTCGAAAAAAGAAATTGAAGAAACTCATTTGTTTGTTGCAGTTCCCGAAAAGCTGGACATTCTGACCCGCAACATGTGCGCCTGGGGCGAGCCCGACAGCAGCAGCAGCAGCAGCAGCAGCAGCAGCAGCAGCAGCTTGTTGGACGCGATAAAGTGCGTCATCATTGATGAAGTTCATCTTTTAAATGAACCTCGAGGGCCTGTCATTGAGGCCCTCGTGGCTCGGCTGTTGAGACACTCCGAAAGGACTCAAAGAAGAGTCCGCCTCGTCGGCATTTCCGCCACTCTCCCCAACTGGTAGGGTTTAGGGTTTAGGGTTTAGGGTTTAGGGTTTAGGGCTTGGGGCTCGGGGCTTGGGGAGGCTCGGCTTTGCAGCGAGCGTTTGGGGCTTGCCGATCGGGATTTGCGGCCAGGGACGTTCGGAGACCTGAGGTTTAGGGTTTAGGGTTTAGGGTTTAGGGTTTAGGGTTTAGGGTTTGCGCAGGGAGGAGGTGGCTCGTTTTTTGTTGGTGTCCCCGGAGCACGCGTTTTACTTTGGGCCGGAGACTCGGCCAGTGCCGCTGCAGCAAACCTTCATCGGATTGAAAGATGTGGGGCGCAGCAAGCAGCAGCAGCAGCAAGCGTTTGATGCTGCAGCATTTGCTGCAGTGCTTTCCGCAGTGCAGCGGGGCCACCAGGCCATGGTGTTTGTGCATTCGCGGCAGGGAACAGTGGCAGCAGCAGAAGCGTTTGCTGCTCTTGCTGCTGCTGCGGGGCAGCAGCAGCTGTTTGCTGCTGCTGCAGCGAACCCCACGGCGCAGCAGCGGCAGCTGCTGCAGCAGCTGCTGCAGCGCTCCCGCTACCGCGAACTCAAAACCCTAGCAGCAAAAGGCTTCGGAGTCCATCATGCAGGAATGTTGAAGACAGATCGGAAACTTTCTGAACAACTTTTTATTTCCAAAGTTTTCAAAGTTTTGTGCTGCACTTCAACTCTGGCTTGGGGGGTGAACTTGCCCGCGCGCTGCGTGGTGATCCGCGGCACGCAGGTCCACGCAGCAGCAGCAGCAGCAGCGGGAGGCGCAGCAGCAGCAGCAGCAGCAGACTTGGGGCCCCTCGACGTGGCGCAAATCTTCGGCAGAGCCGGGAGGCCCCAGTTCGACTCCATGGGCGAAGCTGTGCTGCTGACAGAGTACAGCAAACTTACCAAATATGTTCGACTTGCTGCTGCTGCACTTCCTGTCGACTCCCAGCTGCTGCAGCAGCTCCCAAATGCCCTTAATGCTGAAGTGGCTCTTGGAACTGTTGCTTCTTTGCAAGACGCAGCAGACTGGCTGCGCTACACTTTCCTCTTTGTCCGCATGCAGGCGCACCCGGAGCTCTACGGGGGCCCCCCGGCCTGGGGGGCCCCCTCGGGGGCCCCCTGGGGGCCCCCCGGGGGGGCCCCCGGGGC